CAAGGTCTAAAAAGGAAAAAAATCTGCCTTTTCCACAAACGATTAAAATGAAAAGGTTCTGTTGTCTGCATGGTTTTCTTGGTAGTTTTTTTTTGTGACATCATGTGAAAACACATGGTCATTTGCAAAGAACTCAATGACGTGCAGCCTGCAAATGCCTGCATTAGTGAAATACCTATTTGTTTCTTGCCCTGGGCTGTTGTCTTCTAACCATCAAATATGACATTGCCTTTTCCTTTGTCCTCCAGCTTCTGCCCAGACTCCCTGTCTTGTACTGCTGTTTGATTTTCCTAATGTATTGCGAGTTTAATTTCTTCAGTTTGTGCTGACCTGACAAGACACATTTCATTCCTACAAGCTCTTGTTCTTGCATTTTAGCTCCTTGAATTTGGTGCCATCTTGCTACAAAAACATTTTTCTGTTTGTGGCATTTGGCAATACCATTTGGCCTTTGAATTTTGTCTCCATTACAAGAAGTTCCTCTGACCTCGCACCTTTCCCTTTCCTTTCTCTGTGCATGAATCCTACACCTTTGAACACTGGTAATTCCTTCTTGGGTGCATGCAGTTTTGTCAGCAATCCCGCTGCCTTTCCTAAGGCCCTTTGCTTCTCCTGTGCAGAGGCACAGTTTTACAGGGTGTTTCAGAAGTCAAGTCAGCATTCCATTTAACATGCAGAAACATAATATGAAGTCAGCATATGAGATGGGGGAGGAAAGCCAAACTGGTGTAATTTAGGCTGTTTTTCAGGCCCCCGAGTGTGTAATTGTACTAATACGACTACCTTGGTTCATACATAATTCATTCATGTATCTCATGGTTCTTGAGATGCAGATTAGTTTGGGGAGGCCAGGGAAGTGCTGTAATTAATGATCACTCTGAATGCATCTTCTGAATAAAGTGTGTTCTTTGTGTCTTGCTGATTTTTGCTTCTCATCCACTTACAAACACTTTTCTTTCTCCCAGGTTGTAGGAGGCCTAGATATCCACAAAAAGATGGTCGTAGATGTGTGACTCTGTAGGGCACCACCCAACACTTTTGCTTTCTTCTCCATCTCTGAAGATCTGCTCAAGACGTCCAGCAATGCTCTCTGTGTATTTAAATGGAAGTATTTTCTCTGTGAAGCCACATTTTCCAACATGAGCCTCATGAAGCCAACTAAGTGTTATTGAACTTTTATTCTCTCAATAACTCAGTGTAGCACTTTAAAGTCTGAAGGACAGCAAAGATGGAAAGAGCATATCAGTGTGGTGGAGAAAGGGAAGGGGTTGGCTTTTTAATTTATTTTTCTTCATCTTTTATAACAAGGAAATATCTATCTATATATATATATGTGTGTGTGTATTTATATATAGATATATATGTAGCTTTCTATATGTAGTAGCTAGGTGGGCTTTAATTTAATATACTTGATTCAGAAACAAAACTAGAGTACAAAGTGCCAAGCAGAATATTAACAGTTCAATATATGGATATACATCCTTACTTTTATTTCACACAGTTTTATATATATAGTAGAAGAATGTAAAATTTTAACTGGGTGTTAGGTCAACTCTTTTCCTTTTCCTGTGACTGTTCAGATGTTTCTATATATTGACTGGCTGACAAAGCATTGCTTCTTATTAATTCACCTTAATTACATTTTTTGTAACACAGGAGACTAAGTTTATTTATACCTGTTAATATATTACCAGGGACTGTGTCTCTTTGCTAAATAACTTAGTACAGTTCTACTTAATATGAGAATATAGTTTAATGCTACTGCCAAGAACTAGCCCTCATGTGCATATAGTAACTGCAGAATGCTTTGATGGCCGCTAGATTTCGTCACCTAGGAATTGGGAGCAGTTACAGCTGTCCTGAAGCAAAGGCAGATCTGCTGTTCTGGATTCATTTTAGATACAGCTGCTCAAGGTGTTAGACACATCCATGATTTTCTCTTGCGCTTAGCTTAATGAAATTAGGATCGATGTAACTGTGCAGGATTCCCATCTACTTATTTTCTACAGTACTTAGGTTAGAAAATGTTCTTGCCATTTAAATTCTGTTGTTTCAACCATGATAGTTTCCCCTCTGCATTTAAGGAATACTACAGGTAGCATAAATAACTGGTAATATTTTATATATATATATGTATATAGGATTCATACAGGGGGAAAATCTTGTTAACCTATGCCATAGAGGAGGAAAACTTCACACTATCTAAATTTATACCTCTTGCGGTTCTCCAGCCCTTTGCCTGGAGAATTATTTTCTTTTCTAGATTTGTCCATATCATGATTTGTAACGGATGGTAACTTGATATATTTGTGTGATATAAAAGTAGCGAGCCATGTTTTACAACTTTATATCATCCCTTCCCTTTTCTGCAGTGGTACTATTGGCTGGAAGAAAAACATTTGCTAGATTTTTTTAGGACAGTTCATCTTTCCTGTATAGTAGTTTTTCTATTAAAAGAAAAATTGTTTTATAATCAGCAGTGGGAAGTGCAGGTTGTCTGAACCTACTTCAATCGAGCACCTGTCTGCCATAGCTGTTCCTTCAACTGAGTGCTGCACATCATGGGCTCTGTCTGTGAGAGAGAAATCCAGGTGCTTGGTGTCCTTGCATGACATGAAGTTTTGCATGTAGATCGATTTGAAATGTTCCTCTTGTTTACATAATTTGCATAATTTAAAAGATAAATGTTGCCAAACTTTGGTAAATGTTAATGTTCAAAACAAAAATCTCCACTACATGTAACTTTTTTCTTCCTCTGGATCAGTACGTGGTTTATAATCCCAGCCAGTGGTTGTATCTGTTCCAGTGTCAACTGCCATGTGCTCTGCTTCAAGGGGGAACTAGTCTTTTGTGAATTTTTTGTACATAAGTATTTGTTACAAACATTTAGCAAATGCTTTTGATTTCTCTTACTTGCTTGTGCATATCTTGGCTGGCATTATAGAAATTAGTGCTAATGTTATTTCCTTAAGGGGGGGTTGGAAGGGGAGGGATGAGGTTGGTTGGTTTTTTTGTTGTTCTTTTTTTCTTTTCTTTTTTTTTTTTCCTTTCTTTTTTAGTTTGTGTGGGGAAAACTGATTTATGTTGAATGTTTAGTTTTTCCTCTGCATGCTACATCATACGTTGTGGGAACTATAAGAACCTTCATACTACATGAATACAAAATAAAATATTTGAACCTTGGCTGAGCTGCTTCAGTACTTACCTGGATCTTTCCTGTTCAACTCAAAGCAGCTCTGCAGCCTGCTCTAAAGGAAACAAAACTGCTGCTCATAGGGGGTTTTCTGTTCCCTTTTCAGTTATAAAGGTTTATTGGAAAAACTGCACAGGGTGCACAGAGCTCCCTAAATAGTTCCAGGCTTTATTTCAGTGTTTCAGGACCACTTATGTGTGTGTGTTTACTAAAGGCGTATCTGGTTCTCTTTGCGAAATGTCCAAATGAGATAAAAAACCTTGGTTTAAATCCTACTGGCTTTAGAATGGTTGGGCTAAGTGGAAAGTGGTTTAAAAAACAAAGTTCTAACCTTGAATGTGGAGAATTAAAGGCAGCTTCTTTCTCAAGGGAAGGTGTGAGACCTCTGCTGGTGGAATCAATCCTCTCTGTAGCAGGTACACCCTTTATGGAAGCCGTTTGCTGGTGCTCTTTGTAGTGCAGTTTTCTGGGCCTCCTGTATGTTTCCCTCTCCCTTTCTATAGTTTTTGGTGAGTATTGGCATGCACCTGCTTTAGGATGAAGATCAGGTTACTTCTGTGCATCCTCCCCTCACTCTACCTTCTTATCTTTTGAGCTAATTGAGATGAATGGACAAAAGCAGCTCCTACTGCCAAGAGCTGTACATTTAAGTGACAAGGCAAGTCTTAAACCTTGTAGCAACTGAAAGACTTGAATGAATTTGGCTATAATCATAGAATGCTTTGGGTTGAAGGGACCTTAAATATCATCTAGTTCTAACCCATATGCCACAGGCAGGGACACCTCACACTAGAGCAGGTTGCTCCAAGCCCCTGTGTCCAACCTGGCCTTGAACACTGCTGGGGATGGGGCAGCCACAGCTTCTCGGAGCACCCTGTTCACTGTCTCACCACTCCCATCGTGAAAAATTTCTTTCTAATAAAGAAATTGCACTGGACACAGAGAAATGCTTGCTCTATTTCCTTGTGTTTCTGATCATCTCAATTCAGCTTTTGTTTTCGTTCAAAAGCCTGAACTGAGAATGTGCTAACCAGCAAGAGACTTGGTAACAAGTCTGGCTGGCAGGGCTGGGAGAAGGACCCCTGTTTAAGTCAAATGGGCTTGTGACAGTCTCTCATCTCTCTCTACTCTGTTTCACGCACACAGCATTTTAAGAAGGCAGAGACGCCGCACTTCCCAGTTCTGCTCTGGTGCAGTGGCAGGTTCTTGTACCTGACTTGTGGCTCTTGGCTTCACAAGGCTGCCTTACTGACCATTTTCAAGAGAATAAAAAGATACATATAGGTGCAGATTCTAGGATTAAGTTCAGATACGGTATTTACCTCTCCGTCATCTTACCGTTTTCATGTGGTACGTTGTTCCCTAAGTACCAGTGATTCATTGGGTAGCTTGCTTTTGACCTTTGTGTTCCAGTTGACTCCTCTTTCCAGGAAGATACTGAACTGTGATGTGTGCTTATAAACATTTAACTATGCTGATTCCTTTAGGCTCACAACGTTAAAGGCTTTCTGAAGTTCTGACAGCAGTCTCTTGATACTTTGATGTTCATAGTCAGTAATGAAGCATGGTTTTGTTTGAGGATAAGTTTAAGTAAAATCAGATACTCTCACTTCTGATAGGCACAACCAGCTTAAAATGACTTTTAATGACTATACAGAAATATCAGGTGTGTTGAAATAGGGCAGCCTGTCTGAAGGAAATCAGACTGCAGGAACAGTCCCAGTTTTCTTCTGGGCTTCCAAATAAAAGAGAAGACTGAGTACTTCTGTAGCTCCAGGCCTCCTGTGCGTACAGAAAACACAGATCCCAGCTCCAGTCCTTGGTGGTGCAGCTGTGCTGCAGCTCAGAACCTTTCAGCTGCTCTGCTGGCCACTGCCCTAATATTGCCATAAACTTTTGATGGAGGACTTCCTGCAGAAGAAAGCACAAACTCAGTAAACAAGATAATGTGTGTGTTATAGAAATAGGTGTTTTGCTCTCGTGTCTGTGTTACGAGTAGAGTAAGCCCATGGGTGAGGATGGTCAAGGTTAGCCACCACCTTGCAGTCTACTGCTGCAAGTGCAGAGTTAAACTGCTGCTGTCAGTGTGGGTTGGGTTGTCCCCTTTGGCATCTCCTAGACAGTGCATTCCAAATAGCCCTGCAGGGAATGCTACCAGCTAAATCAAAGAGCATAAAGTATCTTCCTTCTGCACCATGGAGAGGGTTTTGGAGGCAGAATCCAAGTGAGGGGCTCCCTGATTCTTCCCCAAACCTTTATCTCAAGGGCAACAAGGCAACTCCTCGCAAGCTACCTGCTCCTAATGCAGGTATGGACCACCAGGGGAGAAGGTAAGACCCACAGAAAGCAGTTTCTCAAACAGCAAGATACATCTATATGTAAACGAGAAGATTAGATAACAGGACTTACCTAAAATTAGATTGCAAATTGCTGTTCGTGCCATTTTAATGTTCTGAAAAGATCCCAAAATATGAATTTTTCTGTAAAAAGCAGTCAAAGTAGCAGCAGTTAATGGGGGGGGAACCCTCTTGTTAGTACATAGTTAATAAAGTTGGCAGTTAAAAGAGGAGTTGGAATTTCAGATCAGTGTACTAGTGCCTTCTCTAAACTTGTAAGTAGAAACCACCTCCAAAATCAGAAAAGCTGCAGTATAAACCCTGTGCTGTTCTAAATCCTTTTTAATGTAGATTTTTACAACTTGCAAATTTAGCAGTAGCAGCTTTAGGAGGAAAAGGTTACAGGGTCAGTGGGTTCAACTTTGCTTACTTGTAGGAAGTTGCTCTTATGTGTGGGGCATTACTCAATTCTAGGTGTACTGGTAACACCCATCATTCTCATAACAAAAGGTCAAATACTCAAATAGCATTTGTTGAAAATGCCACTTAAATAATTTGTCTTCCCACTGTTCTACAGCAGTTTTGTAAAATCCAGGTTATCCTTGTTCCTGGAAAAGGACATGGGTTAGTTGGGGGATTGCACTCTCTCCAGAAGGAATTCAGTCAATACTTACGCATCGGCGAGAACGATTCGTGTCCTGGTTACATTTTCTATAGTGAATTTCGTTTTTCCACCTTTCCCTGCTATCCTCCCTATTGCTCTTGACAGATGATCACCTTTCAAAGGTTTGACTAAAACGAGAATAACACACTCAGTGTAACAGCAGTGGTGTGCGGTTCTGTAATGCTTGCCTTGCTGGAAGCAGCTCGGTCTAAGTAGCATGAAAGCAACTTAAGGTGCAATATATACGTATCTATATTCACTAGAATTGCATCTGGTGCTACATGTAACCATGAGGTCTCTGGCCTCACAGAGAAATTCTGATAGAGAACTGCAGTGGAAGGCATTCCCTGTGTTACTGAGCAATTAATATTGAGGAAAGAAGCAGCCAAAGTGCGCAGAGTTGGCACTGACAAATGAAATATAGATCAGATTCAGATGCTGCTCTGAATGGGACTCCAAGGAGTCCCAGTATACATGAACTAAGAGATGTTTCTGCTATCTACTTCCCACCAGCTGCTGTCAGGATATTAGGAGGAGCAAGGCCCATTTGTTTAAAAATGTAATGGATGTATTCATCAAATACAAGACAAGAGAAATCAAATCTCTCTGATAAAGTCATGTACGTTTAAGGATGAAGGTTTAAGGGGCTTTGTTAGGACATCTTAGAAAAATAACAACCCTTTAAGCCACCTGTACCCAGACAATAACTGTGTAATGAAGGTTTTCCTTAACCCTGAGGATAACTGACACAAGTGGAGCAGGGGGAAAGGAACAAAACCCACATACTTGCAGATGGTACCCACAGCTACTTGAATACCGCAGCCCAAGCTACTTACCGTCTGTAACTTCAAACGACTCTAGAAAAAGATCATCTAATCTGATGAGAGCAAGAGCATCCTAAAATAGAGATCTGTTATCAGCATGAGTGTTACAGTACCAGAAAAAAGCTGAAAGCTCATGTTTCTTTTATATAAACAGACAGCATCAGTAGCATTTCTCCACTTAACCTGCCAAACAGCCAGGTCTGCAGCAAGGAGCAGCCCACATGATACCACAAAGAGTAGTTTTGAGTTTTGAACAGACTGAAGGTTACAGGCTTGACTACAGCAAAATGGAGAGTCCCTTCATGTGCAGAGCATGTCAGATCCAGATTACTGCTTCATGCTCGCCTCTGCTAAACATGGATATTTAACACACAGCTAAATACATCCTCCACTTTGTAATTCTAATTGTGTGATGTCTGAAGGTTACTTTTTTATCCTGCATTAGCTTTGGCAATTAGACTTCCACTCTCGTCGCAATTTCCAACAGATTTATTTCTAGAAAACCACCTGAGGATTTTTATTTCTTACTGTGATTTTCAGGGATCATCCTGCAAGCAAATCCAAGCACTCTCTCAACCTAGGAATTGCATTCCAAAATGATGTCTAACACATGGAATAAGATTCTTGTTAATTCTTAAGCATGTAATTTTCTCGCATGGAAACTGACACTCCCCCCATCTTACGCTGACCCCTTCTAGAAGGGATTAACACTTTCAAACGTTACCTGCAGAAATTACTCCCTTCTACACAATAACTAATAAATGCTATTTTAACCCCCAGTGAGGATTTCCTGGTTAAGTGAAACCAAGCAGTTTCCATTTTCCCAAGCATTATCTGGGATTTAGAATGCTTCTCTAGTCTTTAATACACGGAACAAGAACACCTGTGAGAAGAGGCACCGCGTTTCAGGTATCAGTGGGAAGCAGGAGAAGGAGCTCTCTTTACCTAGGATTTGGGAGACTCACCTCTACTTGAAACCCAAGGATAAATGCTTTCACAAAATCAGCTGCTTTTGTTAGAGCACCGAGATCCTTTGTCTCCTGACAAGTCTGCAAGACAAGAAGGTTATGTTTGAGAATTAGGGCTGTGCAAGTAGGATCAGAACTTGGGGAGGGGGGGGGTGTGGAGAATCTCTCAGATACAGTCTAACCATAAACCCCCCACATTCAGGTGTCAGTGCAATGCTCTGTTTTACTGAGAGATCTGAGTAACACACTTGGTGCTTTCTTATAGTGTTGATCCTCAACAAAAACAAAGCATCAACTACCACAGCCTGCGTCTGGAGGGGAGGGAAAAGAGAAGCTGCTGAACATTCTCCCCCCCACCCCCAATCCTTGTTATGGAAAAAAGCCCCAAAACAAACAATAAGCTAAACTTCAACACAGAACAGCAGAAAGCCAGAGGTGAATGGTGGCAGGAAACCCTGAAAGTCGTTCTAATGCCAAGATCCTAAAGATGTTTTAGGAAGTGAAAAGAAACCCAGACGGGTTCAATAAAACATATGAATTAAGGGAAA